TCCAGTCCTTTTTAACCTGTACATGCTCCCTCTTGGCGGTGTCATCAGGAGACATGGAATTAACTTCCACAGTTATGCAGATGATACTCAGCTGTACATCTCCATGTCTCCTGATGACACCAGGCCAATGGATGCTCTTTTTAACTGCATTTTAGACCTGAAATCCTGGATGGCAGAAAACTTTCTCCAGCTTAACCAGGACAAAACTGAGGTTTTAGTCATCGGTCCTGAGGCCCAGAGAGAGAAACTTTTACCAAAACTCCAATCACACTCTTTTAATCCATCACCACATGTGAAAAACCTGGGCGTAATTTTTGACTCTGAGCTGACTTTTATTCCTCACATTAAGAATATAACAAAAATAGGTTTTTATCATTTGAAGAACATCGCCAGAGTCCGCCCCATTCTCTCTCGGGGAAACACGGAGACGCTGATGCATGCTTTTATCACCAGTCGCATTGACTACTGTAATGCCCTGCTCTCTGGTCTTCCCAAAAAGAACATTGCAAGTCTTCAATTACTCCAAAACTCAGCAGCACGTGTCCTGACTAAGACCAGGGGGCGGGACCACATTACACCGGTTTTAAAATCGCTGCATTGGCTCCCCGTGTGTTTCAGGATCGATTTTAAGGTTCTCCTAATGGTTTTCAAATGTCTTAATGGTCTTGGGCCTTCTTATCTTTCAGAACTGCTTTTATCCTATGAACCCTCCCGGCCCCTGCGCTCCTCCGGCAGCAGACTCCTAACCATTCCAAAAGTCAGGACACACACTCACGGTGAGGCGTCTTTCCAACACTACGGCCCCCGTCTCTGGAACAGTCTGCCGGAGGAGCTCAGGGTCGCAGAGAACATTCATATTTGCTTGTGGTCTGGGGAGGGTCTGTTGGGCGGTCGGGGGGAGGGCATGGGCAGGATTGTTTTTTAGCCAAACTGTAAAGCACTTTGTGTTGCATCTGTTGTATGAAAAGCGCTTTATAAATAAACTTTGATTGATTGATTGATTGATTGATGCAGTCAGGTCTGTGGCTGGATATGATGAGGAAACAAATCAATACAAAACTCCATCCTTGGCCCTCAAACTCGGCCATAGCCTCAGAAAGCTAGCAGATATTCTTGAATGTGACTCAAAAATGGAGCATTGTGTTGATGAACTATTTATTAAAAACCTCCAACGAAGCCGGCTGCTTTTTGAGAAGAGGTGGGACGTCTGTGTTTCTTCTGCTGCCCTACAGACCCTCCGGCAAGCCAAGTGGAACACTCCGGACCTGCTCCCGCTGACTGAGGACGTTAGAGCCATGCATGCACATATTGAGGTATGTCGACCTGAATATGTGCAAACCCTAATAAGTGAGCCAACGTCTAAGCATTGGTCTAAACTGGCAGTTTTGACTCTTTGTGAGGTCATTATTTTCAATCGAAGAAGGGAAGGTGAGGTTTCAAAGATGCCACTGACAGCGTTCACCTTAAGAAGTAAGACTGGGATCCATTCTGACATGGCTCTGGGACTGTCCGAACTTGAGAAAAAGCTGTGTCAGCATTTTCAACGCATTGAAATTGAAGGGAAAAGAAGTCGGAAAGTGCCGGTTCTTTTGACTCCTGAAATGATTGCTTCGATGGAGGTGCTGGTGGAGAACAGAAGGGCCTGTTCCATCTCTGACCATAACCCATACTTCTTCCCCCGCCCGGGCGCAGACACCCACATCAGGGGATCAGACTCCCTACGGCAGGTAGCCAAAGAATGTGGTGCGGTGCATCCAGAGATGCTATCCTCAACCAAACTTAGAAAGCACATAGCTGCTATGTCTACAGTTCTCAATATGAAAGAGAATGAAATGGACATACTAGCCAACTTCCTCGGCAATGACATTTGCATCCACAGACAATATTACAGACTACCAGAGGGGACACTGGAGCTGGCCAAAATCAGCAAAGTGTTGATGGCCATGGAGCAGGGAAGAGTGACGGAATTCAAAGGAAAGAGCCTCGACCAGATACAAATTGAGCCTGAAGGTAATTCCTGATATTATTAAAATATGTATGATTTTTTTTCCCATAAAGGCCACTTGTATTTTTATTTTCTGTGCGACAGGGAGAGCAGTAGAGATCCTCTCACAAACGGACGGGCTAAAAGAAACTTCAAGCGGAGAACCTTCAACCATTCATCCAGATGCACCCCATGGTAGTGGCAGTGCCCCTTCTGGTAAGTGTACCAGGTGGGGGATTACAGCCAGGCTGCTTGGTCCTAACCCTGGGAGTGTATATTGCTAATATATTTTTATTTCTCTCCCTAGAACGTGTAAGAAAGCCATGGTCTGCATCTGAGGTGAAGGCTGTGGAGAAGACCATGACGCCTTTCATACAGACTGGAAAAGTCCCTGGGAAGTCTCACTGCCTGGCCTGCATTAATGCATCACCAGATGACCTTAGACATCGGACATGGAGTGGCATTAAATTCTATGTCAAAAATAGAATCACTGCAATTCGAAAAAAAAATCTAAAATAAAATTCCTTTAAAAGAGTTGTTTGTTTTCTATTGACTGTTTTGTATTACTTAAAGTAGTCCCAGTAAAAAAAGATTATGTCTATGGGTCCCATTCTGAACGGCCCTGTTAAAGGGACCCACCAGGTAACAAAAACGTGTGTGTGTGTATATATATATTAGTGCTGTCCAAAATATCGCGTTATTAACGCGTTAACGCAAATCAATATTAACGGCGTCATTTTTTTTTATCGCGCGATGAATTTTTTCATACAGAAAAACACATACAGAAAAAAAAATAGAAACAATGAAAAGGACTAGTTCAGATACATTGTAGACAGAGATTACAAACAATATGTAGTTGGAGATACAGGGGGCCAAAGAAGAAACCCAGAAGGGCACATAGGAGGGGGGGACATGAAGTGGGAGATGGGGGAGGGGTTAATAAAAAAGGCAATACAAGCAAACAGTATACAGTCATAGATATACCGAAAGTAAACAGAGAAACAGCATAGAGTATTTACATGAACAAATTTACAAAATATTTACAGATTGTTTATCATCATCATAATGACACCATGATGTTTCTATACAGTCTATGGTCTATACCCACACACACCCACATAAATGTGTGACTAATTAGCGATTAATCACGAGTTAACTATGAAATTCATGCGATTAATCGCGATTAAATATTTTAATCGTTGGACAGCACTAATATATATATAATAATATATATATATATATATATATATATATATATATATATATATATATATATATATATAAAACACGTATTTCAAGAGTACTTCTTAATAATTGTTACCAGTATGTGAATGAATTTAAATTTATTCTTTAGAAGTGTTTTTTATTCCTATTTTTATTATCTCTTTTTGACTGTTGCACTGAGCCAAAGCAATTTCCTAGTCTGTGACCTCCTGTTACTTACGTGGCAATAAAAATGATTCTGATTCTGATTCTGATTCTGAAGTATACAATGTAATCTAGTTAATGTAGAAATACTCACAAGTGACCTCAAACCTAGAGTATATTTATATCGGAGTTATGTTATTTGAACCAATTTCATATTTACATAAAAACAGTAATATGTACTTTACTTTTAATGAAAATTTTCAATATTAGACCCTGTCAATCTAACTGGTCTGGCAAATACAATCACAGATGATTTTTGTTGCTTCACCTTTTTCTTGCTAAACAGTGTAATTTTTCTTCAGCCATTGTTACTACCACTTTATTGATTTTATTGCATGTTACCAATAATTGTGACCTGCCAAAGTTTAGATGTGGCCATCAATGTCTTACATCTGAGAGGGTTTCAACTATGAAGTGCCCTCTCTTCATAATTCTCTGTTCTTATCCTTTCATGTGTAGCCTGTTTGCGGGGTGGAAGTCTTGTTGCCTTATCCCTAACCACAGCGTTGCCTGCTCCACCTGGTCCTTGTTAAGGCTCTAGTGCAATGCCACGCAAAGGTCAGAGGTCTCCGTTTTACGCTACCTAAACCTGCCGCTGCTCTCCCAGCTTCCTTAAGCCCGCAGATCGATAGCACATGTGCATTTGTAGAGAATGGAGTCAGACCTCAAAGCACTGCATAATAGGCTGATGGAATATTTAAGGGACATCTGCTGACTATAGGTTTTACCCAAATGGCATGCTTTTACATACCTGTGAGTATTTATGTCCACAGAACTCTGCAGAGAAATGCATTGAGTTTGAAACTGGTGTTAATGTCAATATTATTAACAAAGCTACAAAATCCCCAAAAAATTGGTAAAAGATCATTTTCTGTGATAAGCACAAATATGAACAGGATTTAAGACACCTTTTCACATGTTCAATTACAATCTGGTGTATTGACTGCACTGTCCCATCCAAATAGACAAAGACAATTATTGAAAAAGCTGTATTTTACTCAATGGGCCTTATTCACCGATATCTTTTGAAAAATCGACTTACATTTCTTCATAAGTCGTTCATAAGATTATTTCTAAGACCCTATGTGGGATTCATCAATGCGTTCTTAAGCCGCTGGATTGATCGCAGCTGTTCTTAGATTGATGAATTCCATCTCCTGTAAGGTGTTATGCTAATGACTCACCTGTGTGCCAGGTGAGTCATTAGCATAGGTACTTAGCATAGGTTACCGGCAATTAATACCCATTAAAAGGACAGCAGGGCTGTGTGCAGACGTAACTCAGAGGAAACAGCAACATGCCTAAAGCAAAGAGTAAATCCATTGGAGTGCAGTAAAAAAAAAAAAAAAGTTTAGCAGTTCATAACTGAAAGTTCTACTGCAGGAGATCGCTTGGAGGAACAAAATTATATTTAGCAGCCTTAGTGCAGGTTGCACTGCCTGGGAGGCAGTTTGGAGTGCAGTGGAGGCAGTGTCAGGAGAGGGATGCAAACAATTAAAAAAGAAATGGGTCGACCTTAAATGCAACACCAAAAGAAACAGCAAATTTCCGTCGGGAGACACGACGGACTGGAGGGGGAACAGCAGACATGACACCCATGTCTGAATTGGACCAGTGCGTTAGTGCCATCTCCCCGATGATGGCCCCATCAGGTTAGTAGTCATGAACAGAAAGGAAACTCATTGAATGAGAACGTGTCTCCAAACTTTTGGTCTGTACTGTATTTTTTTTTCATTTATTTATTATTATTATTATTTCTGTTTGTCTCATTATGCATTTATCACTGTACCCTTTCTTTATGTCTGCAATTTATCCCTGTGGGCAACAGTAGCTCAGTTGGTAGAGCACTGGTCTTTGGACCTAATGGTCATGGGTTTGAGCCCACCATGACCCATGTCACCTGCTCTCACTGATGTCTGCCGTTGTTGGGTCCCTGGGCAAGACACTTAACCCCACATTGCCTGAAGCCCCATCAGAGTGACCAAGGCCATCTATGAGACTTGGGGGACCTCTGATTGCCAACGCAGAAATGGAAATGGAATAATAAAGGGGAAGACAATGACATGACATGACAATTTATCCCTTATCTACCTAACTTACCATTATTTATCCAGTATTTTTATGCTGATTATATGTCCTTTTTATTATTATTATTATTTTTGTTATATTCTACATATGAATAATAATGTTGCACATTGTACTGTTCCGGACAGACACACACAGACGCACACACACACAATATCTGTTGTCTCCCTTTTAAATATGTATCTCTCCACATTTTATTGTTTGTTTGTTTGTTGTATGTATTTGTTACTTTGCAAAATCAAATAAAGCTTAAAAAGAAAAAAAAAAGCTGTTTCTTGTGTGGGGGCGAGCGATCACACATTTGGAGGTTTCTCCAAACAAGGAAGGGGAGTACCTGCATTGGTAATCCGGAGAGCAAGCACGATACTGCAACCACACAGTGCACAACCACTTGGTAAATTATGACAAACTTGTGCGATATAAAGAAATTATTACCCAAACAAAGCACATACTATTTTTTTTTTTTTTAAATGCTTGTTTCTCTGTTACTTATAGTCTACCCGGAAAAATTGTAGCATTTTAAACGAGCGCGGGATCAATTTGATGATTGTGTGATAGTTCTGCAACTGCAATGGAGCACAATAATATATAAATAAGTAGTAAAGTAAGGAATGTTTATTTATGTAGCACATTTTACAGACCAAGGTCACCCAATGCGCTTTACAATGTTACGAGTTCAGATAATGTTCCAATCATTCCACAAACGTTGATGACGGAAGCGAGTCGCCGAACACACTGCCCCATCAGCCCCCAATCGACACCATCCATTCACTCTCTCCTTTACATTCATACCTATTGTGCAAATATATATATATATAAATAATATGCGTTACTGTCCTGGTGATTACGGGAGGCTTGAAAATAAATATGTGGGAAGCACTTTTAGCAGAGACTTTGGCGGAAACTTCAGCGGAGGCTGGAGGTCGCGGCGCGGCGCCCCGACGCGAGTTCCAGGCTTGTTTTCCGCAAATCTAACCTGTCTCCGAACCTCCCAATGACCTGGCCTTACTCTAAGAAACACTGTTCCCACTGCAGACTCTGTGCAAAGTGTCTAAAGTTAGTTTTTGGTGCGGTATAACACTCGCAGGCTGCCCCGCAGCTGCATTCGCTTCACTATGATTTTCGCACTGGTTCAACGCGGTCTTGCTCGAATATTTTGTATCGGAGCATGACGTTTTTTGGGGCCAGGGTGCTAGTCTGAAATGTCTGCCAACTAGTGGCAGGGAGTATGAATGAATTTTGACACTCAGTTGGACACACTCGGCCGTTTTAAACAGTACCGCAGCTTGTCAACTTGGCGCCCATGGGAAAGGCAGCCCTGCCTGATCACCTCGACAACCCACTTGGAGAGGCGCTGGGACGACAGAGCCTGTACCTTCCTGGGGCAGGGAAAGGAGACGAAGAGGCAATCCGACCCCCGCACCCCGGCCGTGGCAGTTCGGTAAACCTCCAATGCCCTGACCGGACAAAGCGGTTCCACAGAGGCCCGAGTACCAAACCGGGCCAAACGGAGTGGAAGGACCGCACCAGCGAACACCTTTGGGCGGAAGGAAGCATCCGGGGCTCAAACGGGGGGAGCCCGCAATGCCTCCAGAACCAACATCAGGTCCCAGGACGGAACCACGCGCCGGCTCGGGGGACGAAGCCACTGAGCAACCTTCAGGAACAGTAAAACATCCCTGTTATACACGTCACCGTAGAACCGGCTACACCCTCATGGCAACAAGATATTGCCGCCACGTATACCTCGAGTGTAGAAGGAGAGCGCTCCCGGTCCTTGAACTGCAGAATGACAGACACCAGGCAGCGCACAGCATCGTGTCCCCACGTCAGACACCACTCGGCCAAACAGCTTCCAGCGATTGGCGTACTGCCGTCGAGTGGAAGGCGCCAATCATGCGCCAGCGCATCTAGGCCCAAAGGGCAGGCCACGTCCACCAGGGAAAATCACATTGGGCAGTGGGTCGACTCCTCTGACGCAAACAGATCCACCTCGGCCTACACAACATAGCCCAAAGGCTGGCCACCACCTCCAGGCGCCACTCCTTGGGCCGGGGACGTTGGCGGGACCAAAAGTCTGCCACCACATTGTGCACCCCCGGGATGTAGGAGGCCCTCAAGCGCACCGGGCGAGGGACCGCCCACAGCAGTAGCCCCTGGGTCAACCGCCACAGCGTCATGGACCGGGCACCCCCCAGGTGGTTGACGTGATGAACCACCGTGGTGCTGTCGGATCTCACCATGACATGCCTGCCACGCAGCCCTGGGAGAAAGTGTCAAGAGCCAGGCGGACCGCTATGAGCTCCAGGGCAACGACACGCAATGGATCCAAACGCAAGCCGTTCAGCCACATTTGCAGGGGACAAAGGGAGAGAAGGCCCAGCGGCACAACAGCAGAGGCAGCCGTCAACTTCCCCAAGAGGCTGAGATACAGCAGAAACGGCAACGCCCGACCCCGAGGAAATTTGTGGCACATGTCCACAATGCCATCAACCCGTACAGCCGACGGATGGGCGGTCATGGCAACAGAACCCATGTAGCCCCCCAAAAACACCGTCGCCTGAGATGGAACCAAATTGCTCTTGGCAACATTGACCCACCGATCCTACCGCCTAACGTGGTCATGGCCATCATCACCTGGCATCGGTGCCATGGACCCACAGCAGCCCAGCGACTCGAGCATAATGAGAGTGACCGAAACTGGTGGAGCAGTGCAAATACAGAGTCGGGTCGGGCCGAAAACGCCACCGACGACTCAATGCAAACAGTGCAAATCAAACACAACTGAACTGAGAGCGGACAGTATAACTGTCGATAGAAAAATGCAAACAGCGTACCCCGAAAACAGAAGCCCTAACGAAATTGCACAAACACACACAAAGTGGGCCAATTAAAGAGTCAGGTGGGGCAGAGGACGCCACACACGACTCCACAAACAGAGCACAAGCAACAAACTCAACAGAGAGCGAGCATTACAACTGTAGATAGAAAAACACAAACGCTAGCACACACTGAAATGCACACACACACAACGTGGGCCGATGAAAGAGCCAATCGGGGCAGTGAACGCCACACACAACCCTACAAACACCGGCCAAACAGAGCACAAGCAACAAACTGAACAGAAAGCGAACAGTACAACTGTTGATAGCAAACGTTAGCTCACTCTGAAAACAGAAAACCAAACAAAATAGGAAGCACACGTACAACACGTGGAACAGAACTCACCGGTGAGCCGGCGGAGCTGGCAAAGCCCCTGAAGGACGAAACTCACCCGCTGCCTCGACAGAAGTCACAGAACTGGTGGGCAGGCTGTAGCAGGTATAGCTCAAATGCTCATCTCAAATCTGCGCTGCGTGACTATATAGACTCACATGTGTCTGGTTTTGGGTGGAGCCATCGAGCTCATGCTGGTCCACTCCTATAACTGTGGAAAGTGTTGACTGCATCCAGCGACCAAGAAATTGTTTTCCGTTCGGATGTTTTTATGGGTTTGATGCAACATGCTGTTTGTCATGCTTTTTGCAAAAGCTGAAGCAGCAGCTGAAGAGTGATTGACAGCGCCTCTGACAAATCAGAATTGACGTTCACCAATGTCAGATTGTTTTGGTATCTACTCGGCCCAGCTCGTGGAGTCGAGCCGAGTCGGCCTTTACTACTTGGGTCAGCTTGAGGCTCACAAGCTTGGTTGGTTGGTTGGTCACCCCTGGGCTACATAGTAATTTACATTCATGTTAATGTTTTGCCATTTGAGGTAGTTTTGAACTAGCCTGACTTTCACCAGACCCTTGTAGGTCCCCCATGCTCCACCAGAGGCATTTTGCTGAACTCCTTCAGGAGATAAAAAAAATAATCAGGATCACCGGTGTAACGTCGGCTTTGCACCGCCTTCTCGTGCGTGTCTCACGGGCGGCCAAAACAAAACAAGATGACGGACATAAAGTCTGTGAATTAGAAAAAAAACAAAAAAAAATGTATTACTAACTAATTAAGACACGGATGTCACTTTTCATGCAATTTAAGGCAAGATGTTGATGGTTCCATGTTGTTATGTTGTTCGTTACCAAATAAAGACTTCAGCTGTGTTGCAGTGTGTGCATTTTTAAGAGACCAGACTCTTAAATTTCCCCCAATTTCATGAAATCCTAAACGTCTTCTTTCTGAATAGACCTGAGTTATTCAAGACAAAGGGGAAAGCTGATAAGAGACACGTAATGTGACACCTCTGACAAAAGCAGAAGTCTACAACTTAAACATGTCAGATCGCTGTCAGGCTAGTCGTCAAATCAATTGACACAAGAAAAAAAGTGGAGCTATTGATGCACTTAGTGTTGTGCAGAGGTTTGGATTTGCAAAGTGACCACTGGCATAGATTGTCAGCTGTGCTTTTTTCACCAACAAGTGTAGAGACTATGGGTTGTGTGTCAGCGTATTTATTTTAAAAGTATCATCAATATTATTTTATCCATACTAAAACTTAACTTGTGTGTTTGGCAGCTCATAGGGACACGGACGACTGCCGAAGCTGTCTGGAGTGTTCCAGAGAAAATGGCTGTGTGCGTTGCCCTGAGCGACTCTTCCTGTTCCTGCAGAGGGATGGAATGTCTCACCACGGGACGTGTCTCCTCACCTGTCCCCCAGGACACTATGAACAGAAGGGCAAGGAGATGAACCGCTGCATGAGTATGTACATATTTATGTTTCCAACACTTACCAGTGAAAGTTATCCTGTAACTCCCGTTCTCTGCTTGGGAGCATCTCCAGTTCGATTCGCTGATGTTGGTGAGGACTCAACAACTTTTTAAAGTCCTTTGCCACCTCAGGATTGCTGTTATTATTTTTTTAGATAAATTGAATTTGGAACATCTTAGATGCATAGATGTTTATTGTGTATTAGTTTATGAACAGTGCATGGTAATAAGCCCTGGGCTTATTTCTATCCGTTGCACTCACAACCACACACTCATTTACCCTGAACTATTTTAAATGATTTTAGTGGTAGGGGAAACCGGAGTACCCAGAGGAAACCTACGCACTTATGGGGAGAACATGTAAACTCTACTCAGAAAGGTCCCATTCAGACCGGGATTCGAACCCAGGACCTTCTTTCTGAGAAGCAAGAGTGCTATCCACTCAGCCACAAATAACATTTCCAGTTGTTTCGCAAACTGAAAATGTTATTTGATACACTTTGTGTATAATCTATTGTAATTGATTACAATACATATACTAATCACTCTTTGATAGTCTTACCCAGCCATCAAGAAGCTTCATCCTGTTGCAATTAAATTTTCATTATTTATGCATGGGAATGAGAAAGAACGTGTGCCCTGTGTGACAATTTGATACATTCAGATGGGAAACAGTAATCATATATAGATGAGAACAGTTTGACCTCTAAATAATACATCTCCCCTCGCTGCACTTTGAGCTTCTACTGAAAAAAAGACTTTTTTTCCTCCACAAAAATTGTCTGGCAACGTAAATATACACAATGAACTGGACCTCTCCTATCACTCTGTCCCCAGGCACATAGCTATAGAAATCCACTGTGAGGGAGATCCACCTGGTTAATTCCGTTTACTCACTCCGCTAATTAAAGAAAAACATCCTCCCCAGAACATAGCTGGGCCACTGCATTAAAGGCTTTATTTGAAAGAAGGATGCCAACAAGACCACAGAAAATTCCCTCTGACCACAAGCCACAAGTGTAAACTAGAAAATAACCCCACCGCCGACAGCCTCTCTGCACGCCATAAGCAGTCAAAAGACCAATATTACATTATGAAAAATGCATCTCATATTCAGAATGGACTTGTGTGATCGTCGCCCAAACCAAAATGCAGTTAAGTTTTCATTAAACAAACGGACTCAAAAGTGTGTGGGATTTCCTTGTTTGGAAGTCAGAGAGGTGCCAGATTGTTCCGGATGGATGTGGTTTACACGTTGTTTATAGTGAGTCTACAAAACAGCATGGACAGGCTGGATAGAAAACAATGGATGTTTAGGATTCAGAGCGAAGACATGGGATGAATTGAAAGAAGCTAATTCTGGGCTAGAATTCATATTCATATTCACTGCTGCTAAAGTACAATATAAACATCTGTAAATACTGCATGATGCTGCTAACTACAGTATTCAACCTCGGTGCTCTTATTTTCTCCTTTCATTCTGTTGTAATGTACGCAATGATGGCACAGTGGGACGAAATAAAGGCTTATCTTGCATTTCCTGTGTGCTTGTTGGATTCTTTCACCTGTTGTTGGTGATTTGTCAATTTTGTAAAGTCCTACAAGATGACGGATGTTGGGATTTGGGGCTATACAAAAATAAACTGAATTGAACTGAATCTTAGAGATATAGGATAAGCATTTATCTTGGACATCTGTTGTATATGCTCCTTAGGGTGCCGCTCCCAGGACTGTGACCACTGTTTCAGCAGAGACTTCTGCACCAAATGTAGATCAGGTTTTCAACTTTACAAAGGGAAGTGTCTGAGCCGCTGCCCACTGGGAACGTTTCCTCACCACACTGACTGCCTGGGTAAGTACTTTTCATTTAAGTTGAAAGTTGGAGTTGAAAACATAAATGTTATGCAAAATTGATTTTGATGAAAAGGACTACATTATATCCTACTTTTCCAATCCAATCCAATCCACTTTATTTCTATAGCACATTTAAACAACAGAACAGTTCCAAAGTGCTGCACAAAAAAAAAAAAAAAATAGAAAAATAAATAAATAAGTAATCAATTTATAAAATCAATAAAAATCATAAAACACTAAAAAATTAAAAAGACACAGGGACCACACAACTCTCGCGGTGTTAAAAGCCAGAGAATAAAAGTGGGTTTTAAGACGAGATTTAAAACACTCCAATGTTGTGGCTGTTCGGACGTGGAGGGGCAGAGCGTTCCACAGCTTAGGGCCGACGACGGAGAACGCTCTGTCCCCTCGAGTTTTACGTTTCGTCTTAGGAACCACGAGCTGGAGCTGGCCCTCAGACTTCAGAGCGCGCGTTGGGGTGTAGACTTCAATGAGGTCTGCGACGTACTGAGGGGCCAGTCCGTTCAACGCTTTAAAAACAAATAACAAAACCTTAAAATTAATTCTAAATTTGACTGGAAGCCAGTGCAAAGATGCGAGGATTGGTGAAATGTGGTCACGCTTTTTAGCTCCAGTAATAAGTCGTGCAGCGGAGTTCTGGACTAACTGTAAGCGTGAGAGTGCATTTTGGGTAATGCCTGTATAAAGAGCATTACAGTAGTCCAGGCGTGACAAAATAAAAGCATGCACGACTTGTTCAAAATGTTTAAAAGATAAAAACGGTTTGACTTTAGATAAAAGGCGAAGATGGTAAAAGCCTGACTTGACGACTGTATTAATCTGTTTAGTAAAATTAAAATCACTGTCCATGGTGACGCCAAGGTTGGTGGCAGAGGGGAGAACGTTGTCTTTAAAGGGGCCCAAGTCCATTAAGGGGTCAGTGGGCCCAAAAATAACAATTTCAGTTTTCCCCTCATTAAGACTGAGGAAATTTTGGGCCAGCCAAGCCTTGACGTCACTCAGGCAGGCAAGCAAGGGTGTCAGGAGGCCTTTAGCTGTCTTGGAAAGAGGCAAGTAAATTTGACAGTCATCTGCATAAAAATGGTATGAGATGCTGTGCCTCTTAAAGATTTGACTCAGTAGGAGGAGATAAAGGGCAAATAGAACTGGGCCAAGAATTGAACCCTGGGGAACTCCACAGCGCAGGAAGGCAGAGGATGAGGTGGAGTCCCCAAGCCTAACGGAGAAAGACCTCCCACTGAGGTATGACCTGAACCAGTCTAAAGCAGTCCCCCTGACACCCACACTGTCTCGGAGTCGGTCTAAAATAATTGTGTGGTCAATCGTGTCAAAAGCAGCAGTCAGGTCTAAAAGCACTAAAATGGCAGAACTACCTGAGTCAGTCACTAAAAACAGGTCATTAAAAACCTTTAAAAGTGCAGATTCAGTGCTATGCAAACTTTTAAAACCTTGTTTCATTGTATAATTAGTTTCTACTGCCAGAGAAAAACATTTGCTCCTCCTGTAAGATGAGTAAGTGGTCTGCAGTCTATGCAGAAGCATAAGGGTAGATCTCTGTTTTACTACTAAAAACATATAATAATTTTCTGTGATGAGTTTCAGAACTGGGGCTGGTGCTCTGTGTACTGGGTGCAGCTCTGACTGCCACCCCCCCAACCCAGAAATGGATTAAGGGGAAGAAAATGGATGGATGGATGGAGTTTCAGAACTTCCAGATTAACTCATAAAATCCTATTTGTTCTGGCCACTGTAAAAACACAACTTAATATAGACACCACACAGAGGTCTCAAAAGTTATGATTAGTTAGGTAAGACACATGCTGCCAAAGTTACTTTAAAATGTATAATCCCATTACATATAATTATTTAGTAAAAAAAAGCGGAAAACTCTGCACATCCCACTCAGGCTCTGCTCACAGCTTTTGCAAAGTGTTTTTTTTTATTTACAGATGAGAAATGTTTCGGCCGTGGGGCTTCGTCGGGGAAATATTTGTATCCATTATGAGAAGAGTGGGGCTGCAGCATCAGATCACACATTTGTGTTTGGCTATAACAACAGGACAAGTGAAAAAAAAAATTTTCAAAGACATGGTCATGATGTCGTGATCATGTTCTGGTAGGAATTCTTTCCACTGTGCGGGAGCTGAAAAAAAAAATTTGTTTTGTGGGTGTTGTTAGATTGTGCACACTTCCCACATCCGTACAGTAGTTCCCATTCGGGTTGGGTGTAAGGAGGCCGGGTCTGAGTGGATGTTAACATGTTCTAGACGTAAACTGCTCTATACAGTACTAATTTCACAATGAGTGATCATATTAAACAATTCATATTATAGCTATCTGTACTTCTCTTACTAAAACTCCTAAACAAAAGGGAGTTTGGATGGATTGCAGATGGCCTCCATTACATTGAGAAAGATTCATCTTTATTTCGAGTCTTGTACGTAAGAAGTAAGTAAGATATATCATGCATCCCTTTGCTCTGCAATCCACCTGCAACATCTGGGGCTACTGAACTATTCTTGGCACACACCGCACATCTGGATCTGATACTGGATGTTTTCATGTCTGCCGCACCGTGCACACCTCGAGCAAGCCTTGATTCAAATAGACCCTTTTAATCCCAGATCTGACTATGGTAATGATAATTACTGAAGGAAATGCCAGGCCTCCTGTTTTCTTTTTCCATTAGAGTGGAAAACAGTTCAATCAGGTGACATCATACAAAGTTGTCAGATATTGGTTTGATTATTGCAAACCTAGACGATAAAGCAATGGTGCGTTACGTTTGGAGTAAGAATAATCTTTAAACAAGTGAAAATCCATCAAGTGCCATCCAGCTGCTATGATAGATTTGAAGCGATCAGAGGAAGCCGGGTATTGTACTGATAACTTACAGAGACAAGAAGGAAGCTCAATTGTGATTATAGCTTGATTGATTTATTAGTAATGCAATAAACTTCAATAACAGTGCATTGAGCCAGGTATCTACTGTGCGATATGGACTTTCTCAGAGAAATCTATGATAGTGGTAAAGTACAGTTCTGGCTTGTGTTTTGGATCATAGCTAACAAAACGCAATCTGTCTGAAGACAAGGTAAATCCTGTCAGTTTGAATCTTTTTCTAATCCCCACAGACCACTGCCTTCTGGCTCCCCTGGGCGAGTGGAGTGAGTGGAGCATGTGCCAGCGAGACACTGGGGAGATGTGCGGCTACAGATGGGGCCGACAGAGCAGGACCAGAGGCACGTCGAACAACCAGACCACCTCCTTCTGCCCCCTACAGACTGAGACACAGAGGTGCAGGATGAGGAAGCGGTGCAAACCAAAAGGTAAGACTGCCCTTATTGGGCATAATGGTATGCCCAGCTAAACGAGTCTACATAAAATATTGGTTTCAAATTTTAATTTGACAGAAATATATTCATAGTTTCATCTAAAGATTTTTAGATCTGAACTTAACTTTTGTGAAATTTATTTGAGAAAAAACATAATTCTTAAACGTCTTTATCCACCATAAGATTTAATCTAACATAAAAGGATTTATATCCTGCTTCTTACATTTGCTTTAGTGGCCTCAAACAAACTTGTATTTGTTTCCAATGAGCTCAGTCTGACAAAACCGATCATAGAGTAGAGTTGCCGATCATAGAGTTGCTTGCTTCTGTTACCATTCCAACTTGTGTTGCCATTCCAACATCTGTGCCACGCTGGCTCTGGGCCGACAAACAGGCCAGATTTATAAGGCCACGTTGGAGAAATTGTACCCTATAAATAAATTCCAACATGTGCTACTTCCAATTAACACTATCGCTGGGATTATAAAGGCTTAAACATATAATGCATTTTTAATTTTTTTAATGTATATTGTTGTGACAACACATTTTGTAATTTGGCTGTAATGACTGTTGCTCCTACTTATTTAAACTGAATTTGTCTTATAAGGACACATGCATCCCACTGTTGGAGCTTCGACAACAAACCTGACTCGTACTTATCCAAGAGATGAAACTCTAAAAATGAAGTTTAATTTCAACAAGAATGACCATTGATGATGATTGTTTTGTTGTAAGGCACCAAACATGTGCAGTTACACTAAACATGTGCCGTTTCCCCAAAAGTGAAGGGTCTTTTGTTTACAAGAATATTTATAAGCACTTTTTAATACAGATGTCATATTTGTGGTCAGGACTTTATGCCTTGTTGCGCAAGCATGATGTTATGAATGACTTTGTGGAAACATTTCAAAACATCATCTCCTGCCAACTGCACTGTGTTTAGTAGGGGTGGGTATTGTTAACTTCATATCGATCAGGTACCATATGCTATATCCCCTTAGTTTTTGGAAATGGAAAAACACAAATTAACAAAAAATCTGACATCCTACCTGCTCCTTAAGCCTGGTTCACACGGCAGGATATTTAGGCCGATTTAGACCCGATTTACCCCTTACGACAATCTTAAGAAACGCTCCGATTTCCGTAAAAAAATCTTACAGATTATCCTGCCGTGTGTGGTGTGTTAAGACTGCACTCGTCGCTCGGAAGGACATCGGGACTGCTCCCGATCTCAAATCGGGGATATCCAACATGTTGGATTGTTTTGGCCCGATTTTTCTTCGTGTGTGGTGTCCCCCGAGGACAGACGTGCGCGTTGCCATGACTGCGGCGTGTAGCCAATCAGAAGACGAGACGAGGCGGTGAGGAAACGCCTCCATATCACGATGTAGCAAGTATAGTCCATGCTCGTGTTGTCTACACTTCTTTGACCATCGCCTTTTCTTTCGATTACGTGTTTTCTTTTGAAAAAATCACGGTACGGTTCGTACCTTGGTTCAGAGGCCACGGTTCGGTTCATTTTTCGGTTCATTTTTCAAAAAAAAAGTGTTGTCTTTTTAATAAACACAGCTCATGTGGACTCGGCAACTGACTGCCCCCCCTGACCTAGAAATGAATTAAGGGGAAGGAAATGGATGGATGGATGGAAGGCATATTCCATACATCCAATTATGTCTATTTAACATAATTAATGAAAAACAACACAAAGTGCAACATAAGAAGGCACTTTATGAGGATATTTACCCTCATATATTACACCACCTTCCTGATTCTCCCGAGGAGGCGCTCCATTCTGGGCCCAGCCTCATTCACTGCATTTATTTAATTTTTGGCATTATCAGTTGTGACTGGGATATTAGTACTGGGCCTTTGTCTTCCATTCCTCCGCTGCTTGTGTCAGAACCTGCGCTGTGTGACTGTGTGACTGTCGTAGAGGGGGCGTGTCTGCAGTGCCAGACTTTTCATCTCCCAGTCTGCGGTGATGAAGTGAGCGGTTCCGCTCATGGATCTATTATAGGTTCCGCGGGACGTCCAAGCGTCAGTCGTGAGCGCAGCTGAGGATGCGCGGGAGAGTTGACTTTAGCCCGGTCTGACTCTGCGTAAAGGAGCTGCTTAAATGCTGCGGCAATAAGCGGTCGTTGAGACGCTTTTTTCACTCATGTCTTTCTTGTGCCACAGTGCTTACACATCGTGACAGTTTTGTCGAATATTGATTATCAGTGTAGTTACAGTGAAGCCAAAATGCTCTCATACTGGGGATTTAAATGACGCAGGGCTTTCAAGCATCTCCGTTCCTCCGCTCGCAATGACCGCGCTGTGTGTGGACTGAACAACGTGCGCCCAACTTTTTTTTCATAAATCAAACCGCGGATCACGTCTGTACCGAACCAAAGACGTTGAACCGAACGGATCACGGATCAGTGATGAACCGTTGCACCTCTAGTTATGCCATACAGCTAATTTTCAAAATATTATAATAAATCTTTCTAGAAGTTTTATTTAGGGTTTTTATCTGCTGTAAGCCAATCACCATCATTATAATAAATAAGGGCTTTATTTACAGTGGTCCCTCGCTAAAACATGATTCACGTTTCACGGCCTTGCTGTGGATTTTTGTGTATGCAATTTTGTATGCTTTTTACCGCTTGTGCTGCTGTTATAGTCCAACAACATCAAATAACAGCTAGTATAACATGACAGAATCCTTTTATTTAAAGTCAGAAGAAAACTTTTTTTGGCTTGTGTGCACCGTGGTGATTAGCTCAAAGGACTACAACGGTCTTCCTGCTGCCCTCAGTCCTGCACCTGGCTTTTGACAGCTGCAGCAGCACTCAGTCCTCCAATGAACAGGTTTGATATTGCTGCGATCGCACTTCAACAGTCATGAGTTCAGGTGGTTAGAAAAGTGTATAATGTGTGTGTGATGGGTTTTAAGTAAGCTGCGGAGGGGTCTGCTTCCGCCCTGAAGGTACTTATTTTCCGATAATGACCTGCGTAATATACGTTATCCCGCTTATTATACGGCTTTATACCAACAGAACACACAACATAAACTTCAGTCCACTTTTAGGAATGCCGAAAGGTTTATTTAATGACAGAAAATAAAATTGTTCCCAAAGGCTTTCCCGTGGCTATGCTAGCAACAGTTAGGCTGGCAACTTCCAAACTAGAACTCTCTGGAACTGCATGAAAACTGAACAAAGAATTCTGAACATCAGCGGTGAGTGACCCATACATAAACCTAACCTAAATCCATAATTTGATCCTCTGCAAATGTGTCCGAAAATGTGCCGGTATCTTAAAATGTGCCGGTATCTACTTCCGTGTTGTTCGGGATCGCCTTTTCTCGCATTACATCAGTGTTTTTGTCATGAAAACGTAAACGGAAAATTCTGAAAACTTCCGTGCACTTGTATTATGACTCGATATGTATAAATTACTCTCCGATTAACATTTCATTGCGTTGATTGATTGGCATTTGCGTTTATTGAGCGGCCGGAACTACTTCCGGGTTTTTCACGATCGCTTTTTGACGCAGAGAAATAGTATTTTTGTCATGAAGACAAGACCAGAAAATTCTGAAAATTTCCGTGTACGTGTGTGAAGAATGTATATGTATAAGTATTCTCCGATTAACATTTAAGTGTGTTGATTGAGCGTGGCTAGCTCCGGAGTGGCCGGAACTACTTGCGGAGTTATCCACGCATTTGAAAGACAAGCAGAGAGTGCGTTGCCATGGGCAGCGGTCATTATTGTTTTGAGAGGTCCGTTATAGAAAATAATGACCGGTAGAACGTTTTGAAATTACATTCGAATCAATGGAGCATTCTACTGCTGCTGTGAGGAGCCGTATAATAAAGCCTTAAAACATACAGTTGCTAGTATTACAATACTACTACCCCCATAATAAACAAGGAACCACTCTATCTCACTTAGCGTGTAATGAGTCTATATATGATATATTTTAGTTATAACGTATGTACAATGTAAGATTAATTACAAAGTAAATGGACTTTTGAAAGATATTCTAATATTCCGATTTTCACCTGTTCAATACAATGAAATAATGGGGATGCTATTTTAATTCTTGCCTTATTTTTTACAAATCCTATTGGTTGACATATCTTTATTACAAGGAATAGCCCCTTGAGATGCTTTATCTCGTTTTCGAGAGGGTCAAAAATAAAGGGTCAAAAATAACAACACAAGTAGCAGCCGTGGTTGTCAAAAAAAAAATGCAGTTACAGTATAGTGTAACAAAAAAACAAAAGTTTCAGTAAATAAATTCAACATTGACTCACACACACACACAGAGGTCACTCTACTCCTCAAACTGGAACAGTGAAAATCAAAGGATAGTAGTGTTTATAAGAAAGTTCAGTAGCAGTTACAAACATTACACAGATTCCTTAATACAGCACCTTTAAAAAGCGGAAAAGAGGTTAAGGAGCGAATGGAGGTTCCTGTCATATGGATCTTTATATTGAAAAGCATATTTACCAAGTTCTTGTTTGACACAAGGAGTGTGAAAGAAAAGCTGGTTTGTGTGACAAAGGTTATGAGAGGAATTGAAAAGGGTTAAATATTGCTTTAAATAAAGAGGATAGTCCAGGATATAATATTTATAAATGAAAAACTACCAGTGAGAGTGACGTCTTTGGGACAGAGAGAGCCAGGACAGCTGCTGGTACATGTCACAGTGGTACATAGGGGCAGCGCAGAATGATACTGCACAGGCTGTTGTAGGCAGTGTTCAGAGGATGGAGATAAGTGGAGGTGGTATTTTGATGAACTATGTCAGCGTGGTCTAATATAGAAAGTAGTAACTGTGAAACAAACCTTTTCCTTGAATATAAATTAAAGCAGTGAATGGATTAAGTGTTTTCAAGGAATAGTTTATTTTGTTTGCAGTTTTGTGAATATGGGTGTTGAAAGAATGATTTGAGTTAAAGTAGCAGTATGTAATATTTGCATGTCAAGTCATCATTAAATGGCCCCCATGTTTCAAAAGGCGTTATTAAATCATGCTCTTTTC